AACAACCAGCTCACCACAGCCATCCCAACTACTGAGCCAATGATTGCTACCCACAATTCCTTGTGAAATGGTTTAAGGAAACCAAAATAGTCTTGCGTGACCTCCTTAGTCGCCATGACAACACCAAAACCCGCCGTCATGAATGGCTGAGTAAAGTCAACGACTTTGGAGCGGTGTGACGTAATCGTAATTGGAYCAATCGCAAGRTCTGCTTTCTGTTTGTTTTAAAACAAAGGATTACATCGGTTCTTTTATTGAAAATAAAGATGAAAGATTGGCGAGATAAAAGATTAATGTGGAAATCTGGTCCTTTTGTACTATATACCTTTCTTATAAGCTCGCCAATGACTCCTCCCCAGGCTCCTGTACCCTTTTCATTACCCACGGTWCGGTCAGGTGACATGTAGATGACGTAGTCAAAGTGTAGAGTTTTCTTTAAACTGTTTAACAGGTCAATAACAGCACCTTGAAAGTCATCAGGCGACTGCTTCTCCGTGACATTAGGACGTGCTGCTATTATGAAGGGAGGGCTCTATGAATAACGTCAATAGTAGAAATAATACATTATTCAATCAGTCGGTCTGACGAAAGGATCAGGCCCGTAGGCTGGGGAGATTTCGGGGGGTTTGGAAGAAACCCACCCACAAGCTTAAAAGGTCGGGTGTTTCTCTTTTTTTTATTGTTCTGTTTTAAAATTCTTTTGTTATGAACTGCACATTCTAGCAGCCAGTTCTTAATATAGATAGTTCATAGTGTTATGCTTTCCAGTTATCGATATCCGCGCTTCGGAATTGAGCCATATAAAAAAACTTGAGTATCCTTAGCAACTGTTGGCATACCTGGAACGTTACTATGGTTATTGTCTTGTTTGCAAGAACGTTGACTGAGTCACGTGGTATTTCTAATCGACCGTCTCTTCCCCATCTGATTGTCTTATCTTTCTTCATGGTCAGTTTATCGTTTGAGCTCCATTGACCTACCTATGACATTAAAAAAATTCCTATTCAAAACAGTGTACACTGTATGCTTTGAAATGAAGGACTGTATTATTATCAAAAGTCTTCTTTGGTCATTCAGCTCCGGCAAACCCACACCACACACACGTACTGTCTTAAATGATACGTAGACAGTTGTGGTTGTTATTACTGAATTTCGCTGTCTAATACAGTTATATCTGTAAACTTGAGAACTGTTTTTTTTTTACCCTCACTAGCAACTTGTTTGCAATCTCGTTCACAGAAATTATTCTCTTTTACTCATGCACAACATGGCTATCTATTACTATATTGGATACGAAATAAATTGATCTCCGTTTGGACGAGGTTGCGCATGCACAGCGATTCAGACTCAAAAGGCAGTATGTGAACTTACCTTCGTAACTTTATTATTGTACAAATTTACAACATCATAAATGCCTTTAGTTGCTGCTCCTTCTTCACTAAGAGCAATTCTATCCATAAATCCATCGATTCGTACCTAGAGGAGATGAGTTTTCAATATAAGTGTTAAAGAATGACTATTACTGCTAGTTACATATGAGGTATTTTAAACTGTTTATGAGTGGTCTATTTTCTTTTTGGTGGTTGCATGCTGTCTTCTTTCATATCTCTAAATATTTCAAGTATTAATAGTCCTGCTTGCTGTTCGTGTACTTTTTCGTACATACCTTTCTCAAGTATCTACTCAAAATRGCGCCTTGATTTGTTGSCTGGCYTTCATTCGTACTATTACAAAGTCGTTCTGTTTCTGTGCTTGATATTTGAACTCTGTCTTTCAAGGAATTGCGCACTGCTTCGGCAAATAGAAGAACAGAATCGATGATGCGACCCTCTGAAGGCTGGAGATTAAAATATCCGTTATAGTTTCATAAAATTAGCTAGAAGCATCTCAAGAAATTATTCTGATTCGCTCATGACGCTTTATCCAACTCGTCTTACTCAAGATGTTTACGTTCAAAACTGGCTACATCAATATAATATATGAATTAACGAGCTATTCACATCTAGAGCCAATGTTTCATCTTTAGTTTGCCCACCTTTCTTGGTGGATTGTATCCATTTTCTTTCCAGTAGTTRTTAATAATGTTGCTGTAACTACCTTGACCAACAGACTGCCTGACGCCTATTAATCCTTGTAGACCAATGGACGTGGTTCCTTGAGTCAGCAAATGTGCCTAAAAACATTGCTCTCTTTACTTCAATCAAAGTACAGCTCACTTTAATTAATATCCTGACCAGGAACGGCCTTAGCTTAAGGCTCTCTATAAACAAAGACGCATGCTATGCATAAAAGTCTATCAGATTAGATAACATACGGTATATTCATGCAGCACTATCTATCGCTATAGACCTCTTGCATGTGACGTCAAAGCAGCTTGATGGAGGACAAAACAAAACTTTTTTGCCTTCATTTGAACTAAAATGTGTTTTTCTCCAGTTGGAGGATGCATTTCCATGAACTGGAAGGGGTCTATAGATGACTCTAGTTGAATGTAGTCGCATGCATATAACAAGAGGTGAACCCACCCAAGCGATGTCTGTGTACTCGGCATTCACCATTTATGCGCAGCAGTAGCATTGATGGTCTACCATATACCATAATATGCAATATTTTGATTTTGGAGGTTTTTTTCTAAATTGGGTCAATTACCTCATCGAGTTGATTGTCAGCCAGAATCCACACCCAGTTCTCAACCATGTCCAATTTAGCCGCTTCCTCCATAACAATCCCAACATGCTTTGTGTTGCTCTTCAGTACAACAATCCGTGACTCGAGTTCTTTGACCCAGGAAAGAATTCGTCTAAGAGAAAATCTTATAACACGTGGATCGAGATGAAAGTATTCATATCTGAGAAGCTTGACATTGCGTTGTTGAAGTGCTTGTCTGAACGCTGCAATGCCTGATCTTCCTGAAATTTAAGTTTTACAATAAGATATTAGTCTAAAGTGCCTATGACGCCTGACACGATACCTTATTCGTACTACTATTTTCGCGAGGCTTTAATTTCGCGATTTAAAAAAAATCGCGAAATTAAAACCTCGCGAAAAGTAGGATCCGCGAAAATTATACACGCCAAATTTAACGCACTTCTATAATCATTTCACTTTATATACTAATCTTCGATTATTGTTTAAGTGATCATTCAGTGAAAAAGGAGTTTTAAGTCTCTCTGTCCGCGAAATTAAATGCACTAAATTTATCGGCTTTTTTTCAAATTCGCGAAAATGCTCGCGAAATATTTGTGTTTTAAAATTCGCGAAATAAGTGCTCGCGTAAATTAGTACGAATAAGGTAATTTCTCATGAGCTGATTCTATATAAAGTAAATAATTGAATGGTGAAATATTCCCTGCATTTCAGTGCTGCGTATTTGAGTTATGAGGTTCAATCTTACAATGTGTTAAGGATAACGACGTCAAAGAAGGCTTCATATACATACGAACTGTAGCCTGTGTACATCCGTTTCTCACCCCTCCGATTTTTTTGGAGGCTATACGAACTCGGAAGGAGTAGCTTAAAATTTTTTTATGACATCAAATTTATCATAGGCAATATAGGGAATAATTACATTCCCAGATGGTGTTCATGAAAACAGTTTTGAGCGACTGTTTGAAAGTTCGTATGATCAGAAGCCTCCCATGACGTTATGATCATTAGCATATTAAACCTCCAAAACTCAAAGACGCAACACTGAGATGCAGGGAGATTTCACCTTCAACTATTTACCGTTTATATTTATATAGAATCAGTTTGCA